TTGAAAGCCTTAAAAATTTTCATTGACGATTAAAGTTCATATATATGTGCGATTCTTTACCAACATGTACCTGAGGAGGGTCGTGGCTAAAATAGCAATGTTGGGCGAACTTGCAAAGCAAGCTTGGACCCTGCAAAGTGCCACTTGCAGCTATATTTTTTCACGCTCTGCTTGAAATATATATATGTTTCTGGTATAAAAATAACATGCATCTTTTCTTTTTTCAAGTTTATCATTACTTTAGCACTGGATTATATTGGTTATATGACTGGATTTCCCTAAACATTCACATTTACAGATTTTTGCCTAAGCCTGACATGTTGTATCATCAGTGTATATAATATATTATATACTACTTTAGCCCCAGAAGCGAACGCCAAAACATTTTGGAACTCTTACGTAAAACACTCTGTATAACCAGTTCAGACCAAACCTAAACAAAACAAATAAATTGAAAATGGACCGCCAAGAAATAATATTCTTTTGCTGGAACCCTTTCTGGGAATCTGCAGCAGGTTACTCCTTTCCGGAGTCACCTGCTGGAGATTATTCCACTCACACTAGCCATGCCTAATTAATGGCAGCTCTAAATTCACAGCCTCCCAGTCAGGGGTCTCTGTTTGGCATTTAGTATGAAGATTAATGTATGGTTTATGTTATTTCAGAACCACACAAGTAAACATAGGAAACCTATGAATAAACCAATGTTATGAATGATCACAATCATCAGTAAACACCTTCCTATCAATCCAAATTCTCAGTGCTTACAGTTTGCTCAGTCAAGCAAAAAAAACATTTGAAAACATCTTGGCCTGCTGTAAGGGTCCTCAATTGAAACTAGAGGCTTTCTTCTCATCCTCTGATCCTGCTGCCAACCAAGTCATGTTGTGCTTTTTGCTTGTGTTCTTGAAGACTTTGTCTTGCTCGTCTTGCCATCTCTGACTCTCCATATCTCCTATTGCGCTGCCATGGTGCAGCTTGTTGAAGACGTTTGAGTACGGCACAGCACACACACACTGTTTCTCCTGCATGATCAAATGACAGCACTCTTTCTCCAATTTGTATCCTTTTTTTAACCATGCTTTTCTCAGAACAATGTCTTTGATGTTGTGTTGGAGAAAGTTGACAATGATGGGTGTTGTATGTAGAACTCTTTCTGTGCTAGAGCTTCTTGAGCTTGTTGAATCTGTAAATCAGTGTCCTTGAGCAAAGTTCATCTCTGAGAACTTTTCTACAAATTATAGTGCTGAATGATCTTCTGTATCCTAATGGACACCAAATATTCATAGGTTATTCATTCTGGATCTAGTATCAATATCATTTCAGCTTATCCACCTGTCTAATGCACTCCTTGAGACTGTGTGGGCCCACCCATTCTCTCAGAAATACAAAACAACACTAGTTGCAAATGTGTCTGTGGTTATGAGTATAGTGGACGACCACCAGGGTTTCTGGTCATGCGATGTGAGCGAGAGAATCCATGTCCTTGAGAAAGCTTGCAGTGTATCACTGGGTGGTATAGCTTTGGTGTCATTATGTAACTGATTTGGTAAACATCCCTTGCTCTGAAGCTGTGAATCCAAGGAAATATCCACTCAGTAAGTACCACCCCTGACGGTCATCCACTAGTCATATAACTGCAGTTACATTTCTAACTAGCATTTCAAGTGGAAAATATTGATGAGTACTGGAAAAGCTTGATAGTGTGATAGATTTAGTGACGTGCATTGTATATTCACATTTGAATATGTAGAGGAAGCAGTAACATATGTTGTTAGTGTACTGCTGTGAAATAGAAAAGCTTTTTAAAATAAATGTATACATGGAAAAAGTAAGAAAAAATTTCCAGTGTCAGTAATGCTTCAAAGTACAGCATGCTTTAAACAGTCATAATTATTGATGGAAAAGTAAGATCCTTTATTTGTAGTAACTAAAAGAACCTTACCTCAATCAAATGCTTTTGTAGTGGCAGATCAGCCCTACACAGACTGTTCTAAAATACAAAAATCCTTCTTTTAAAGCTTTTGTTGATTTACTTTTGGGTTTTGTATCAGTATGTTGCATGACCTACATGAATTGTTTTGCCATTTATAAACTGCCATACTGTGAATGTTTGCCCTTCACCTAATTAGCCAGTCATTTTCCAAACATGATGATTAAACATACAGTGGGAGAAATAATTACTCAGCATGTCAAAAAAATTATACTTTTTTCACTTCTTTTATGCAATTCACATAAAATTTAGATCAGACATTGGTATTAACTAAAAACTACACAGTTGAACAAATTGTAACATTTCAATTTTTTAAACAAGTTATGTGCAATAAAGTGGAATGACATAGGAAAAAGTATTGAACACTAACTGAAAGTTATTTCATGCTTGATAGAAAAGTCTTTATTTTTAGTGGCAGCTTCAAGGCGCTTCCTGTACAAAGAAACTAATGTCTCACAGTGTTCAGGTGGGATTTTGGCCCATTCTTCTACACATACAGTCTTTATATCTTGGAGATTCAAACAAATCTGGAAGAAAATAAAGGCCCAGTCAAACACCAGACAGGAACCAAATTTTCTTTTTGGGTTAAGTTTGGTGTTTGACTGGGTCTTTACAACACCTGTATTTTCTTCCTGTGGAACCATTTGAGAGTCTCATTTGTCTTGCATGTCCTGATTTTATTGTTAGGCTCATAGGCCATTTCTCCTCCAAACATGGCACATTGTATAGTGAACAAAGTTATATTTTTGTCTTGTCTGATTAAACTACATTCTTCGAGTAATCTACAGTTTTCTCCATGTGTTTCTATAGCAAACTCCAAACAAGCTTAAACATGTCTTCAGTAATGGAGTCTTTCAAAACTTCTCTATCTTGGCTGATCTTATGGCTCATTGCTTTACTTGGCATCATTGATTCTTTGTTCAGGCTTCTAAACTATCAGTTAAGGACAAACACTAGTTTTGTAGCTAATGCCAAAACTCTAATGAACATAATACCTACAGTACAGTGAAAAATTCAGAGACTACCCTAAATGTTGCAGTGTATGGTATTGTGTTCACTGTGTCCATCCTTTGCTTTTATTACAGCTTCCATTATTTGTGGTAAATTTGCTTTCAGTTTTTCAAAGAAATCTGCAGGGCTGTTTTTCCATACTTGTTATAAACACCCCCAGAGTTCAGTCTTAGAATTTGGTTGCATTTTCTATTTATCACAGTCAAAGTAATATAAAATACATTTATTGATGTTGAGAGTTGGGATCGGGGGGGGGCAGTCCATTGTTCTGAAAACACCAGCATGTGTTTATGTTGGAAAAATATGTCTTGATCTTCTTTCGGAAATTTCTATAGTCAAAACACATATAATAGAGAAATCACTTAAGATTTAAATAAGCCTTATTACCCTTTGGATTCTTCCATTGTTTGAAAAACACATTTCAAACTTGTCCTACAATTTACATCTGATCATCTCAAAAATACCCTTGAAACAAAACTGGGCGTCGGAAAGGAAATACAAAAATCATACTTCTTAACGCAGTGGTGCTGCAATCAGTCATTGACATGTAGTGAAGTTAAATGTAGATTGTCATGATTCATTATCTAGATCGGAGATCAAGTTCCAATCCTGTATTTTGTAATTACTGGTAGGTATGACACTATGTGGTCGGTCAGTTACATGTTAAATGTATGAGTGGAAATATTTAAAGGTTCAGATTTGAGGACCTCTGATCTAGATTGTTGTTCTTGGATATACACCGATCAGGCATTACATACATTAATAAACATACCATCTCTTTCCCAGGACACAAGGAAGTGAGGACTAAATGACTTAATGACCTAGAAAACTGTGTAATCAACTTGCCTTGCCTTTTTAGGAACTCTTAAGAAGGACTCTTGTTCTTGCATTCATGAGGACTCTAATAATTCCTGCTATACAGCACTCACTCACACCGATCAGGCATAACATTATGACCACCTCCTTGTTTCTACGCTCATTGTCCATTTTATCAGCTCCACTTACTATATAGGTGCACTGTGTAGTTCTACAATTATAGACTGTAGTCCATCTGTTTCTCTGCATACTTTGTTAGCCCCCTTTTACCCTGTTCTTCAGTGGTCAGGACCCCCATGGATGCTCACAGAGCAGGTACTATTTGGGTGGTGGATCATTCTCAGCATGTGGTGGTGGTGTGTAAGTGTGTGCTGGTACGAGTGGATCAGACACAGCAGTGCTACCGGAGTTTTTAAACACTGTGTCCACTCACTGTCCACTCTATTAGACACTCCTACCTTGTCAGTCCACCTTGTAGATGTAAAGTCAGAGACAATAGCTCATCTGCTGCTGCTGCACAGTTTGTGTTGGTCATCCTCTAGTCCTTCATCAGTGGTCACAGGACGCTGCCCACAGGACGCTGTTGGCTGGATATTCTCGGTTGGTGGACTATTCTCAGTCCAGCAGTGACACTGAGGTGTTTAAAAACTCCAGCAGCACTGCTGTGTCTGATCCCCTCAGACCAGCGCAACACATACTAACACACCACCACCACATCATTGTTACTGCAGTGCTGAGAATGATCCACCACCCAAATAGGACCTGCTCTATGATGGTCCATGGGGGTCCTGAAGAACAGGGTTAAAGGGGGCTAACAAAGTATGCAGAGAAACAGATGGGCTACAGTCTGTAATTGTAGAACTACAAAGTGCACCTATATAGTAAGTGGAGCTGATAAAATGGACACTGAGCGTAGAAACAAGGAGGTCATAATGTTATGCCTGATCGGTGTGAGTAAGTGCTGTATAGCAGGAATTATTAGAGTCCTCATGAATGCAAGAACAAGAGTCCTTCTTAAGAGTTCCTAAAAGGGCAAGGCAAGTTGATTACACAGTTTTCTTGGTCATTAAGTCATTTAGTCCTCACTTCCTTGTGTCCGGGGAAAGAGATGGTATGTTTATTATGTAAAGTTCTCTTTTCTTCACAAACTACTAGTTAAGTTTTTTTCCCCTCTCTGTAGGCTTTGTGGATGATGAAACCCAAAGAAATCAGTGACTGGCAGCATGAGGAGTTTTACCGCTATGTAGCACAGGCCTATGACAAACCCCGCTACGTCCTTCACTACCATGCTGATGCACCAATCAACATCCGCAGCATTTTCTATGTGCCAGAGACTGTAAGGCACAAGGATACACCAAACATTCCAGAATAGCATTGAATTTTCAATTGTCTTGATCCTTGGTCATTTCTCTGTGTGTGCGTGTGTGTGTGTAGAAACCATCCATGTTTGATGTGAGTAGGGAGATGGGATCCAGTGTGGCTCTGTACAGCAGGAAGGTCCTTATCCAGACCAAGGCAGCAGATATCCTGCCCAAGTGGCTGCGCTTCTTAAGAGGTAGGCCTTGGTGCCTCTTCCTTCTTGTTCCATTCAGACCACAGAATTTTAAGTAGGAAGTGAACTTTAATGTAAATTGTAATTGAAGCAGCCTATTCTCTCTCTCTCTCTCTCTCTCTCTCTCTCTCTCTCTCTCTCTCTCTGTCTCACTCACTCTCTCTCTCTCTCTCTGTGCATGCATGCTGTAGGTGTGGTGGACAGTGAGGACATCCCCTTAAACCTCAGTAGAGAGTTATTGCAGGAAAGTGCACTCATCAGGTAAAAGTAGCAACATGCTGAGATAAGCTTGCTGCTGTGGTGTCTGGATTTTGTTCTTGATGAATAAGCCATCATTGTTTTCAGGAATGTTGATTATTATAATGAGATTGAATGTTGACATATAGATTGATAAATACAACTCCATTTCCAAAAAAGTTGGGATGCTGTGCAAATAAAAATTGTAAATTACTGTGTAAATAAAAACAAAATTCAATGATCTGCAAATCATTTAAACCCAATATTCATCAAAAAATAGTACAAAGACAACAAATAAAATGTTGTGTTGACTTCTGCTGGCAATCTTTGGTTTCTTGAAGAAAAACTGGAGTGGAGACTCGAGGAAAAAGAAGTTTAATGAAATGCGCGTCTTCCCAAACAACAAGTCTAACTAAGCTTACACAACCATGCACTTATAGTGAACCATGTAGATCACACCCTCTGGTTGTCTCTTTGTCTAAATGACCCAGAAACCCCCCCTACTTGATGGGCGACTGCCTCTACCTTTGTAATTAAAATAGAGGTGTTGAGGCCCACCCTGGAATTTACAGTCTCCTCCACCTAGGAACCAGGATGTCTCTGAGACATCCCTTCAACAAAAGGCATTGCTAGATTGGGGAGCTATAGATAGCCAGATGTGAAATAGGTTAACCATTGGAGGTCGTTACATGACAAGGGACTGCTCTCCACGGCCCCCACACATCACCCAAGAGAGACATACAAAATGCAAATGAGAATAACACAAAAGGCAAGGGAAACAGAAGAAGGTCTAAGAGAAGTTACAAAGTTAATAAAAGCAAATAAAGTAAAATTAAGTAAAATAATATTTAATACTCCCCCCTCTTGACCATACAGAATTGTGGTCAACATAGGTTAATTATTCATATACCCGTCTGGGCATCAGGTATAGGCATTTTAACTTAAATGTAATCATTTGTCACCACAGAAATACCCCTTACTATGATAAGTTCTACATCTGTTTGTGCTATATGTACATGTTGCATATTCCTAGCTGTACAGATACAATAACAACAACGTATCATGGAATAAATTATCAGTACAATAACACAAAATGTGACAAAGATCAGTAAAATTTCACGACAGTACAGCCACCACGAACCCAACCAAACACTCAGCCAATCTCCTCTGTTTTGATCCATGTGAGTAACACGATTACGTAGATCATTTAGATCATTAATATACCCATTAAGATCTGCAGTGGGATCAATAACATCAGAGCAGCATTCAGGACCAACTATCGCACAAACCCCTCCTTGTTGAGACAAAACATAGTCCAATGCAAATTTATTTTGTAAAATCATGGTTCTATGGGACTGAAGCGTGTTAGAAATAATACCTAAAGAGTGAGCAGTATCATTCGCTAAGCTCTCAATTGCATGAGATAATTCCGTTATTTGATCTAGAGCAATCATGACTCCATAATTTGGAATGAGTGCACCTAAACATCGAGACCAGAAGGTTTGAGTGCAAGTAAAATGTTCGATGCATGGATTTGGATCACTGGTTGCTGATGGAAAGAAAGTTTCAAGAGCATGTGTCAAACCCTTTGCATGTGTATGAACTTGATATTTGGTTGGATATTGCTCTCCATTTACTTCAAGAGTAAATGTTGCATCGATGTTTAAAAAGGAAGAGATTAATGATGACAACTCAGGAGTTAATGTTGTGTTGCGTCTCTGAAATTTTTGCAACATAAGCTGATATCCTTTATGAGGAGGCAAAAGATCTAGAGTACCATTTTTATGTAGCCGGACATTGTCTGGTACCAAATATTTAGTATTGGCAAATGCTTCATTGTCTTTGTACCATGTACACATTTGGTTATCTCAATTCACTGGCCCACAAGTACTAGGAACGTCTAGAGATATTTCAGACATATCAGCCTCAGATGTATTTTCAGGACGATATATTAAAATGACATGATTTCCTTGATCAGCACTATGATCTGACGAAGAATGTGTGAAATTTTGTGGTCTCATAGCTGGTAATAAATAAATTAATGAACATCGACTGTTAAATCTAGCAGGTAATTCACTGAAAGCAGTACTACCACATAACCAATATGTCCCTGATGGTGCAGGGATATGGCAAAATTCATTTACTGACAGCCAATTAATTCATAGACCATTCTCATCAATGCAGTCTTGTACTGTTTTTGCCGTAAAATGTGGTTGATTTTGGAAGGTATGATTTATGACTTAACTGATTAAGCTGTATCACAAAACCACATAATGCTTTGGGAATTTCCCCTAGAAATGGTGATGTACGCGAATGTTTTTCAACACACCAGCGTAATTTAAATGGAGTTATAATGTCTGTAATATTATATGATGGAGCATATGTTTGGTCACAAGACGGCATACCAGGTGTACAACGCTTAGTGGTCTTTGGCCGGGTTACGTTGTGGCATGAACTGACATTGAAAATTTGAACATTGGTATGTAACATGGCACATTGCAGTCAGAAATAGCATGTCCAGACCATGCTAGTCCTGCGGGGATACACTTACCGGGTGCGGGATACAAACATTTTGTCCTGGAAGCAACGTTTGTCTTGTTAGATTGAATAAAGATTGAAATGTGTTGTCGCTGTCTACATTAGAGACAGGACTACCCAGGAATGGTGTGTATGTAGTGAACAAAATGAAAGTCCTAAAAAACAAAGTTCAGATTTATTTTGATCATCTTGGACATCTGTGAGTTGGTGAGATTTCTGGCTTTGATGTCTTGATGACTCATGATATTGTCTTTGTAGAACACTCAGATGGTCATCTGTTAGTAGAACCAGAAGTATTCTTGGATGGTTCAGGTTGTGTGGTTCTTGGAGGTTTTTCCCACTTCTGGTAGCTGTAAAACAAACATACCATCAACAGTATCTTGTTGTCATAGTATGAACAACTTGGAACATATTTGTGGATGTTTGCCCCAACATTGTATTCTGTGCCACCAGTCTGACCCTACCTCACCTTTTGGGTCCTAAGGTCCTAACTGGAAGTGTGGAGACGCTAGTCGTCATTTAGGGGTATGGGAAATCTTCACTTTGGGGATCACCCCTGCAGCCTACAAGCCAACAGTTCTGCCCCAAAGCTCTTCCAGTTAGACCACCCATGTATCCCTAATTAAGGAGGTGGTACAATTTTATAATGTGAAGCATTTGTCCATGCTTTTTTTACCCTTAACATAACACTGCAGCAACCTTAACCAAGAGAACTTAGAACAGCCTTTTCCTTTTAGCCTCTAATGAAACAGCTGTGTGATTCTTATCATGACAGTCCTGCCCAAATTGCATCCACCCCCCCTTGAAGGTTCAGTCACACCTCACCTCTTCGGGGGTTCTGCCAAACCTCAAGTGGAACTTCCTTGAAGCCTTGTAATAAAATTGTATGCTGTTTCCTAACAAGCTCAAAACATAATGGAAGTTCACACTCTAACATTATATAAAAAATGCATCGCCCTCAACAGCGGTAAAGAACCACCAGATCATGCTAAATTCAGCCAAATCATGGACTAAATCCTTATCTTAGAAGCTACACTGAAACTTCGTCACTTCATGTGGTGAAAAACACTCATCCTGCATTTTACAGTCTATGAGACTGTGTGCTGAGACCCTTGCAGGACTGAGTCAAGATCTACATATGAAAATTAACTGTATGTGTTTTTCTTGACTGGCCTGATGCATAATTATATTTCAATGTCTGTTTTACCAGAATCAGTCAAAATTCTCCCTTGTTGGAGATTCCCAAACCTGTTGAATTCAAATTCAATTGTACTAAAAGTTAAAGTACCGACTACCCCAGTTAGTCTCCATTATTCATCTTAGCTCATCTGTTATGTGTATTATTACATAACTTCAAAACTCAACCAGTTTAGGAATAGATACTATGTGCTCCTGTTAATTCACACATCATTCTTTACTTTATTACGAAGACAAATTTCTCCCTGCTGTTGTTAGATGTTACTTTTTCCCTTTTGTTCTGATCTGAGACCAACAGTGCTCCTTACAAATCTTTATCTGTTCTGCAGACCTAAACCAGACTAGCTAAGGTGAGGCTAGTACTACTGTCAGACTTAAACTATGAGCTAATGTTTAGCTTATCAGAACCTCACTCATTAACAAAAACATGGCAGACTGTGATGAGCATGTCCTAATCCTCCACTGTAGAGTCAGTTAGCAGTTTGCTAATGCTATCCTTTCAGCCTATGTTTCAAACATGACCAAATATCTGTAACAGATTTTAGCTATTTCTCAACATAATCTCATCAGTTAAGGATATCTGCTCATATGGTTCTACCACAGGCATTTACAGCTAAGGGAAACAGCAGATTCACTTGACCAAGTTGTAACATTTAACTACCTGGCATTATTGAACTACCCCATCTTGAGAATCAGACATTACTGCCATCATTAACAATGAGGCTTCAAACTCTTTTGAAGGCAAATTATAAAGCTTAAGAAACTTTTAGAAACTGTGAGAGCAAAGCCAATTGCCACTTCTTTGGCAGTAATTACATCTACATGAGCTGAACTAATAGCCACCATGGTCCTGCATGCAAAGACATGCAGTCATAAAACCATGAAATCATTGAAGACACCTGCAGGTTACACAGAACCCAATGCAGCAGCCTTAAACAGTGAAGGACTGAACTTTTTTACCATGGCTAAAGTTATTAACTAGCTGGTTTATGATTCACAGTAGTTTTTACCTACCATCTATTGTCCTGCTCATGTATAATTGGCTATAAATACGCTCCCACAGAAGCTATCGTTATTTTAATTGTTCATGCTCTGTGGGAATGGCAGAAAACGAAGTTGCTTTCTGGATTAGCTTTAAATGTTTATGTGCCACCTTGGGGATGACAGTCCCACCCACAGAGTTGGATTGAGCTTTCCCTAAACTCACTTTACTCTTTGCCTTGGACTTCTTCTTGCATGTGCAAGGACCCATTTTACCACAGTAGTGGCATGCATTATCATGTGTTCCCCTGCTTTGCTTACTCCCTGAACCATGGGACACATTCTTTAACACAGTAGCTGTGTACACCTTTGTCCTGCTTGTTGTCAGCATCAGAAAAGAACCCAAACCCATCACTTTAGGATGGCTGAATTCTTTTGCAATGTGATCAATTTGTTCAGGGGGAAGAGGCTGGTGTTTCACAGTTACTTTATCCTGTCTATCTTTTAACTTTACATGTTTTATCACTGCAGGAGCAGCTTCCAGTACAGAGAGGTCAAATGTGTCATCCTCACTGTCACTGGAAGACATGGATTGCCCTGTCTTGTTTTTCAGTTCATCTAAAGATGGATATAACTGGTGTTTTGCTCTTTTATCTCTCTCTTTTTCTAGAACCTCAACATTTGCTTCAAGGAGAACAAGCGAGCACTGTGTACTTTCACAGGTTTTCTGTGCACTAATAGCAGCACATTTGTGATTAGCACATTCTTTTTCTAATTGGTCAATTTTGGAACGTTGTTCTCCTATAAGCAAAGCATGCCATTGTCTGAAAACCTGAACCACACCCCTCAAAATCTTTCTTTTTTACACATTGAGCAAGAACTGTGAAACACTGCTCCTGACTCCAGTCTGAGCTTTCTGGAAGATCAAACTTTTTACAGAGTTTAGCCTTTCTTTTTCGACAAAATTTGTCTAGCATCTTTGTTAAATCTGCCTCAAATGCACTTCTGTCTGCATACTGGGGAGATGTGGATTCTGCAGTATTATAAGTGGAACCAGCCACGCTTCTGCATTTTAATTACAAACAAAAACAAATTCAAAACAATAAAGTAGATCTGAACTCTTCCCCGAGACAGGACGCCACCTTGTGCTCTAATCAGGAGCTAAGGACTAGGACACACCTAATTCAAAGCAAACGCTGTTGCTTATGTAAAGACGAGAAAATATTTCTATATATTTCTTCGCCTTTCCTAGATAAAGGAAGAGAAAATCTACAACAAGAACAATATCTCTAAAACTGTCCCTCGATAAGAAACACCTTTCTACCAGATTTACGGCCGACAAATAGGAATAAGTCCTGCAACCTCTCCATGCACATCATATGGAGGAAACTACATATAAGACAGACAACACTCCTACTCTGGCTGTGTGTGCTGTGTTTTGAGTTTTCTTTCACTCACACTAGCAGACCGTCACCAGAGTCTTGGTTTCCGTCGAACTGCAGCAGATGTTTACAGCATCGGACGTCAAAAAAAAACCTGGAAAACCTTGCAGATCTCAGATCCCACCTTCGTCGCCAAAAAATCTGTTGACTTCTGCTGGCAATCTTTGGTTTCTTGAAGAAAAACAGGAGTGGAGACTTGAGGAAAAAGAAGTTTAATGAAACGCACATCTTCCCAAACAACAAGTCTAACTAAGCTTACACAACCATGCACTTATAGTGAACCATGTAGACCACACCCTCTGGTTGTCTCTTTGTCTAAACGACCCAGAAACCACCCCCTACTTGATGGGCAACTGCCTCTACCTTTGTAATTAAAATAGAGGTGTTGAGGCCCACCCTGGAATTTACAGTTCTACATAGCCTCCACACATCACCCAAGAGAGACATACAAAATGCAAACGAGATTAACATAAAAGGCAAGGGAAACAGAAGAAGGTTTGAGAGAGGTTACAAAGTTAATAAAAGCAAATAAAGTAAAATAAAGTAAAATAAAATTTAAAAGTTGAAATTGAGAAATTTTATTGTTTTTTGAAAAATATGCCCATTTTGAATTTGATGCCAACACCACATTCCAAAAAAGTTGGGACGGGAGCATATTTACCACTCTGTTTCATTACCTTTTCTTTTGACAACACCCTGTAAGCGTTTAGGAACTGAGGAGACCGACTGCTGTAGTTTTGAAAGTGAAATGTTTTCCCATTTTTGCTTAACATAGGTTTCAGCTGCTCAACAGTTCAGGGTCTCCTTTGTCATATTTTTCTCTTTTAATACAGAGCCATGCTGTTGTAATACACGCAGAATGTGGTTTCACATTGTCTTGCTGAAATAAGCAAGGCCTTCCCTGAAAAAGTTATTGTCTGGATGGCAGAATATGGTGCCAAAAAATTTATATATCGTACAGTATTAATGGTGCCTTCACAGATGTGCACGTCACCCATGCCATGTGCACTAAGGCACCATCATGAATACTGGATTTTAAACTGTGCAGTGATAACAAGGTTAGTGGTCTTTAGCCCGGAGGACACAGTATCCATGATTTCCAAAAAGAAATTCAAATGTTGATTTGTCGGACCACAGAACACTTTTCCACGTCCCCTCAGTCCATTTTTAATGAGCTCAGGCCCAGACAAGGTGGCAGCAATTCTCTATACTGTTTATATATGCTTTCTTGTTTGTGTTTTAGAGTTTTAATTAGAATTTGTGGATGCAGTGATGAACTGTTTTCACAGACAGTGTTTTTCAGAAGTGCTTCTGAGCACATGCAGTGATTTCCACTACGGAATCATGTCCATTTTTAATGCATTGCCTTCTGAAGGCCCAGAGATCATGGCCAGCCAATACTGTTTTTTGGCCTTGTCCCTTGCATACAGAGATTTCTCCAGATTCTCTGAATCTTTTAATGTTGTTATGTACCATAGATGATGAAAAGCAAAAGTTCTTTGCTTTTTTACATTGAGAAACATTATTCTTGAATTGTTGCACTATGTGCAGTCTTTCACGGAGTTGTGAACCCCTTCTTATCTTTGTTTCTGAAAGACTCAGCCTCTCTGGGATGCTCTTTTTTTTGATAGCCAATTATGTTACTGATATGTTGACAATTAACCTTGAGTTTTAAGCGTATACAGCCTTTTGTTGCCCCCGTCCCAACTTTTTTGGAACGTGTTGCTGGCATCAAATTCAAAATAGGCATATATTTTTCAAAAAACAATACAGTTTCTCAGTTTCAACTTAATTTATTTGCACATCATTGCATTTTGTTTTTATTTACATATTTCACAGTGTCCCAACTTTTTTGGAAATGGGGTTGTAGTTTATATTCTTTATTATATTCATTAGGAAACTGCGGGATGTGCTTCAGCAGCGAGTCATTCGTTTCCTAATGGACCAGAGCAAGAAGGAATCTGAAAAATATGCTCGTTTTTTTGAGGACTATGGGCTTTTTATGAGAGAAGGCATTGTCACCACCGCTGAGCAAGATATCAAGGTCAGAATAAATGAACAATAGTTCACAGATCCTGAAAAATGATCTATTTTAATGATTCAAAGTTACTACATTTGGTTCTTGAATACCAAATGTTTAATTATCCTTTAGTGACTTGGTTGTGTTTGACATATGGTCTCACTTTAGGGCTTAGTCTTAGTTTTTCAGTTTGTGGTTTTGACATTATTCTTGTTCTCCATTCTTTAGGAGGATATAGCCAAACTTCTATTATTTGAGTCCTCTACATTACCTGCTGGTCAGCAGACCACCCTCATGGACTACGCTTCTCGAATGAAAGCTGGCACCAGGAACATCTACTACCTATGTGCACCAAACCGGCATCTGGCTGAGCACTCCCCATATTTTGAGGCGATGAAGCAGAAAGACATAGAGGTGAGCTTGAGACTATGCTGATAGACTGTTGATGAGAGTAAGCTGAGCACGTCTTCCTGACGCATTTCTGTTTTGTTGTGTTGTTTTGTTTTACTGTCTTTCTCTGGACTCTTTTTTTGGATCTTAGGCTCTTGAAATTTGTTAAACTTTGGATCTTTTGCATGCTGATAGACTTTTTCTTGTTGATTGGACACCCAAATTCAAAGCTAGTAGCCAACCTGTGTCCTTGTTTTTTGGACACACAAGTAAACTTCTAGGATCAGTACAAATGCACATGGAATTTACCATGGCCCTATCCATCTGCTCCACTGTTATGTTACTGGGTGACTTTAATATTCATGTTGACATTAATTGTCAACTTTCTTTCAAGCTCTTGATGGTTCCTAAATGTTTTGGTTTTACTCAGAGTGTTGATTTCCCAACACATAATCATGGTCACATTCTAGACTTGCTCTGTCATATTGGTCTCAAAAATCTTTCCGTTACTGTTTTTGTTTTCGGTTTTACTGACAATAAGTTCATTAAATGTTATGTCAAGACCCCACTTCTAAACCTCTTGAGAAAACCACTGTCTCTTTCTGTTCATCTGTTACTGTTCATCATTTACTTTTTAGTGAGCACTTCTGTAGGCACAGGAATGCCCTACATGCTGCCCACTCTGCCTACTATTCAGCTATCATAAATGGTGTCAGTTTTAGGCTCAAAACTCTGTTTAGGACCATAAACAAACTTCAAACTCCCATATAATTTACTCCCAGCTCTCCTGTTCAGTGTCAGGTTTTTCAGGATTTCTTTCAGGATAAATTTAGCAGCATCTACCAACACTTCCCTACTGTAACACAGTCTTCTTTCTCCTAAACTTTGAAGTTACTGAACTTCAGGCAGTGTTCTCTGTGCTTTCACCTCGGTCGATTCATCTAGTCACTGAGATCATTTCTTCTTCTTCCTCTTGTCAGCTTGACCCTGCTCCTACTACTCTTCTTAAATCCTGTCTTTCTGCTACTTCTTTGCCTATAGCTCATCTTATTAATCAGTGTTTCTCCTAAGGTTCTGACCCTACTTTGCACAAAATCGCTGCGGTTACACATATACTTAAGAAACCTGATTTTTCCTCACTTTCCAATTACAGACCCATCTCCAATCTCCATTTCTTAGCTAAGGCAATGGAAATAGTTGTGGCCTCACAACTTCAGGATTTTCTCAGAAGAAATAATCTGTATGAGCCCTTTCAGTGTGGCTTTCAAACCCTGCACAGTACTTAGTCTACCCTCTTATAAGTTGTTGATAATCTCCTACTTTCTACTGATGCTGGTTTTCTTATTCTCGTGGACCTCACTGTAGCTTTTGACACAGTGAACCATGACATGATTATTTCCAGATTTTCATCCATAGGCATTTCTGGTTTAATTCTGATTTGGTTCTGAATTAAAGACAACAGTTTATAGGTATAGCATCCATTGCATTGCATCATACATTGCATAGGTTGCTCAGTGCCCAGAGGTTCTGTCCTTGGACCCTTGCTTTTTTATGTTCTGCATCTGAAACCTAGGTCAGATTATTCAAAATCATGGTCTTAAGTTTCACTGTTACACTGATGATATTCAGTTTTACATTAGGAATGCATCCCCTACGTTGTCATCTCAGTCACTGAATGCTTGCATTACAGGTTTAAAACACTGGTTGGATAATAATTTCTTAAAACTAAATGCAGACAAAACTGAGTTATTGTTAATAGGCCCTAAAACACTGGTTTTAAACTTCTCCAGCTTCACTGTCAATTAGGGGTGCGGGAAAAAAATTGATTCTTAGATGCATCGTGATGCATCGTGATGCAGACGTGAACGATTCTGAATCGATTCACAAATGTCAAAATTGATTTTCTAAATATTTTAATTTATAACGTAATGTTGACGGAACGCAAAGGGCGGAACTTGGAAGTGGGTAAGTGCAGTGCACCGGACAGTCTGTGACATGCACATAACAAACACGACTGCATGAGCGAGAAATCCGACCGGCTCACTCTGCATTAAAAGCCAGGTTAGATCAGGAGTCACAACCCAAATGTTAATAAGAGACATTTTGTCCTTTCAACAAAAATCAAACCACCTTGGGAGCCACAACATTTAATGTCCAGTATGTGATAATGTCCTAGTTTAGGCTAAAAAATATAAACGAAAACACAGACTAACTCTGCTCTGCTTTAAGCTTTAGCTCAGCTACAGCCGCTTTCCTCCCATCTCCGCCAGAAAACTTTCCTCAAAAGTTGAATAGTTTCTTGTAAAATGTCTCTCAGTGTTTGACTGTTTTATGAGGCTGAAGTCGCTTCTCATTCGCCAGCTTCTTGCTGAACTTTCCCGTTCCACCTTAAATTCTGACTGAGGCACCAAATGTAAATGCAGCACCATTTAAGGTGGAACGGGAAAATTAGAAAGAGAAGGGACTTAATCTTTGCAACATTTTAGTGTTTGACAGTCTCTCGTTGCAGATTTAACGTACCAGGAAACCAACTGCGCTGCTTATAAGTGCGAATAAGTCCGTTCATCTCCAAATATTCGTCTGTCTTTCTCTTTTCCTTTTTTGTTTGCTACTAGCCAGGCGAAACCTCGTTGCTATGTGACCTGCAGTCTGCACGCCAGTTCTCAGTCATTGCGAAACAAGGCTTTCGCGCACAGGCTTTTGGACATAAATGCATTCTGGATCATTACGAATACTTAGCTTGAAAACTACCAAGTCCTCAGACAGTAAGAAAATAGAAATCATGTATAGAAAAAAAAGATGCATCGAGATGCATCGATAATCGTTTTATAATCGCATCGCAGCCCTCTGAATCGTAATCGAATCGTGAGGTGCCTAGAGATTCCCACCCCTAATGTGTATATTTAAAAATATTTGATTATTGCAGATGATTTTCAAGAAGTGTATCCCTACGATTTTAATTCCTCTTGCATTTTAAATATTTCTAAATTTAATTTATATTTCTCAAGCTCAATTTTCTCTTTTTCTGCCTGAATTTTAGGTGTCTCCTGTTTTATCTTTTTAATTTCTGCTTCACACAATTGGCGTCTCAGTGTTTCTGTATCTGCTCTCTTCACTAGAAGGTGTTTTATTTCCTCTTATCTGCTTGGCTGGTGGTGAGTGATTTGATGGTCCCATCTTGATGTAATTCTTGGGCATTGAAATCTGCATCGACATTTGTGAGGGTTAGCGTTACTTCAGCTGGAGCTGAGAGGATTGGTGATGCTGGAGCTGACACTGTTGGTGGAGCTGAGACGGTTGGTGCAGCTGGAACTGATGGGGTTGGTATAGCTGGAGCTGACAGTGTTGATCTGACTGCAGGTGGAACTGAGTAAGATGCTGGAGATGGAGTCAGGGAAGGTGATTGGGCCTGCACTGTCAAGTCACTCTTGACTCCACCTCCTGAGATGCCAACATGTGATGGGGAATCCTTGCCAATTATGTCAAGGACTAATGTTGAGTAAAGCCACATGGCTTTGGTCCACCTCCAGTTGGAGTGTTTTTTGGAAAGTCCTCTGCTCCCTGCATTTTTAAATTGCTCTTATGGACATCTTTCACATTTCTGTGCTCCACTCCTTTTGCATTTATAGCCTCTGTAATATCCTCTCATATTTGTTGTTTTCTTTTGTTTGTGGCAAAGTTGTTGAACTTGAACTCTAATTGTGTTTTTATTTTCTTGGTATTTTGTAAGAAGGATAATTTTTTCCTTGTGCTTGAAGGTTTTTTTGGGAGGCCTACGATCACCAGACATGCCAGCTTCCTCAAATACACAGTTTGTAATGCCATGTGTAAACTTGGAGGGACAAGCTAAACTAATGTTACAAAATTAAATTAGCTTTTTTGCAGCTAGCCAACTAGCTCTCAGTTGCTTATGTTAATGTAACTCATAACTCAAACAGAGAAGATTAGCTGTAGGTAGAATGCATAACATATTATTGTAAAAATAAAACTAAAATAGCTAAAATTACCTTTCTGTCCTTCAGCGAATTCAAATAGCAATTACGTTATCCACAGCTTTACTAACGTTCCTGGCATTACTGACTGTTCATTGGTAAAGTGCTATCAAAATATTATGCATCAGAACCCCAGTTTGAACATCGAAAAAATTCCAAGCAGCTGCAGAACAGAATAAACACACATGCAAGACATGGATGCCACTTTACTGATAAACACAATCTATTTGTGAAATATAACTAATACCACAGACATACCTTACGCAAAGGAAATGTAGCACAGACAGAGAGAAGCATGAGCGATTTCAGTGTGTCAAGATCATGCGTGTAATGTTTCCTGTTTATGTTGGGTAAGTGTTACTGATTCGGCTGCACAGAGTGAAAAAGTCATAATGTACGACAGTGCTTTGGTCTACCTTCATTTTACGCACTGCTAGTTTAGACTGCCTATGGTGCAACCAAAATTGTGTGTTTCGCTAGTTTTAAACTAACTACTCTCAATATTAGGTTTAGGATGGACTTTACACCCCAACTTACGATCGAACGTGCATTCTGCAGGTGCAACTGGCTGCAGGACTCCCACCCACAGATGGCTGTGGCATCACCAGGGACCTAATGATAGGGCCAGCTCAAAGTAGTTGTGTGAGCCTTCCCCACAGATTTTATTTTATTTTATTTTTTTTTTAAGGCATCTCTGCACTTAATTCTTAATTTCAGTTGCCACATAGAAAGCGGTGCAGGCATGATGACATGGCATGATGCATTCAACAAAACTATTTATTTTCCCATATGTGAACAATAACTGTTTTGTCTAAAAGCCTTTTGCAGATGAAATGTGTTGTAGTTTAGAATATTTAAAGTCACATAGTACTCTCTACCACCATCATCATCAAATGAGGTAATATCTTTTTGGAAAGATGGTGTTCTTGCCCCCCAGTGTAGTTCCAGAGACAACGAGTAACTCATAGTGGACCAACACCTTACTGACATTTGTATGTAAATTGAGAGACCAATTTCATTTTGAATTCTGTCTCCTCTTGTAGGTGCTTTTCTGTTACGAGCAGTTTGATGAGCTAACTCTGCTCCATCTGAGAGAGTTTGACAAAAAGAAGCTGATCTCTGTGGAAACGGATATTGTTGTTGACCATTACAAAGAGCAGCAATTTCCTGACAGCAAGCCAGGTAAGGTGGACCCATCAAGCCATCATATTTCAAAGATATTTTGTACCTGTGATGATTATGCAGAATTTCTTTGCAATTGACTTATTTTAATTTGTTGATTGGTATTTTATTATCAATTTACCACCAATTATAGAATCAGAAAGATTGACTGAGCAGGAAGCTGAAAATCTAATGACCTGGATGAGGAACTGTCTTGGCCAGAAAGTCACCAATATAAAGGTAATGGAAAAGTACACACAGATCTTGTAGTGTCAACATTGCAGCCATGATAAAATTGTTTTTCCTCAGTTGTTTGTATGTTTATTCAATATTTATTCAGTTATAAGTCTTGTAAGAATTATTACAGCTCTTGTAACTGGATATGCAATGTAAGCAAAAGACTGTGGTCGTCCTAATACTTTGTCAGGTGACCCCTCGCTTGGACACTCACCCAGCCATGATCACAGTTCTGGAGATGGGAGCAGCACGACACTTTCTGCGCACACAGCAACTGGCCCGCAATGTGGAGGAAAGAGCACAGATCCTCCAGCCCACTCTGGAGATCAACACTACGTAAGGGATAGGGTACAGAATGCATGAGAATGGGGTTAGAGATGGTGAAAAAACTGATAATACTCCCTGTTACACTGATATGTGAGCCATTGTAGATGTAGAAGTTGCTATAACTATTTCTGACATTCTTAGTGGAATGTTCTATCTTTTTCTACAGGCATGACCTCATCAAGAAGCTTCATGTGCTGAAAGATTCCAGTCCTGATCTTGCACAACTGCTTCTTGAACAGGTATGGCCAACAGTATGAATCAAACTTATGTCTATTTAAATTAGTACTTGAATAAATTGGTAATGTGTTTTAAAGAACTAGTATTTGTTACCTAGTGCACTTCTCTAAGTAGCGCCATTGGTGGCCTTTGACTAGTGATTATATCAGCTCATTGCTCTTTGAAAGCTTCTTGCTTGTACTCACATCTTTACATATTAAAAAAATTAGTGTGGCAAAAAAAATCTATTTTACACAGTTTTCTATTTGGTCCAAGTGTTGTAGGTCAGCCAAGGCATGTTTGATGTTCACATTTTGCTTCTGTAGTTTGGAGCTGAAGCTATGGGTTAACGTGGCTAACAAACAATAGTATGTAAGCTCAGGAGGAATTAAAACATGGAGTCAATCTATTATTTACTTACTGAAGAGCCATAGCCACAATGAAGATGGTCAGTGGGGTCCAAAAATCTTAGACAACGAGTGCAAATGCTTTTTGCATTTTGCATTCTTTTCTAATTAATGCTGAGGCTTTTTATTTCAATATTATCAGCATAAAAACCTCAGTGAGATGGAGATTTTTGAAATTGTAACAAAAATTTCAGAACTTCTTAATGACAGTGTGCACTGAAGTCGGCACGGACTCTGACTACTAACAGTGACAGAAGCCTTTGATGACCAGATCAGATCAGACCAACCTGAAAGTCATCTGAACCCATGCTTCAATGAGTGAGGGCTAAGACTTTTGTGCAATGGTCTTAACATGTTTATTCACAAATTTGCTTAAATATGAAAAGTGACCGAAATAATGAGAATTCAATATATCTTCTTCATTTCACTTTTCATTACATTTCTTTGCTTAATTTTTTTCAAAAGTTAGGTTTCTATTGTTCTATTGTTTCTATTGTTCATTTCCAGGTTTAAATGAGAGCAGCCCCAGATTTTCAATGTGGTCTCAGACTTTTGGACTCCACTGTAGATGGTTCACAGTATGGATAGTTCTTTACTTGGTTTTTTATCAGGATGATGTTCACAATCAGAATGAGATTCATACAGTTTGGATGTTTCTTTAAACAATCTGGATGTTTCTTAACACAATATGGGTGGTTTAAATTTGACCTCGCATCTACACTGTGTGAGGAAAAATGTTTGGTGAAAGCAGCAAAGGCATGGGGGCAGCAAAAATTTGTGCAATTGGAACAAGTTCATTGATGCTTATGTACTACCTGTGTGCCTTGTAGGGGTGGGGGAAAAAATTGATTCTTAGATGCATCGCGATGCGGACGTGGACGATTCTGAATCGACTCATTCAGCGTGAAAAATCGATTTTCTAAATATTTAATTTATAACGTAATGTTGACAGAACGCAGAGGGTGGAACTTGGAAGTGGGTAAGTGCAGCGCCCGGACAGTCTGTGGCGGCACATGACAAAAACACAGCGGGATGAGCGAGAAATCCGACCGGCACCCTCTGCATTAAAAGCCAGGTTAGATCAGGAGTCACAACCCAAATGTTAAGAAGAGCCATTTTGTCCTTTTAAATCAAACCACCTTGGGAGCCACAACAATAGATGTCCAGTATGTCTCAGTATGTGTTGATGTCCTAGTATAGACTAAACAATATAAACGAGAACGCGGACTTACTCTACTCTGCTTTAAGATTTAGGTATAGCCGCTTTTCTTCCATCTCCACCAGAAAACTTTTCCTCAAAAGTTGAATAGTTTCTTGTAAAATGTTTTTCAGCTTTCGGCTGTTTTACGAGGCTGAAGTCACTTCCCATTTGGCAGCTTCTTGCTGAACTTTCCCGTTCCACTTTAAATTCTGACTGAGGTGCCGAAGGTAAATGTTGCTAGGTGACCTGCAGTCTGCACGCCAATTCTCAGTCGTTGCGAAACAGGGCTTTCGCGCTATGTTGCACACGCCCCGTCTCAAAGATATTTTACTGACACAGTGCATCGCAGCCCTCTGAATCGTTATCGAATCGTGAGGTGTCTAGAGATTCCCACCCCTAGTGCCTTGTAATATCTAAGATTTCTGGTCCAGAATGGGATAATTTTTCACCCTAGTCTTTAAGAAGTAAGTGAGTGATTTTGTGCATACGATTTCATGGTAGCAATAACAGATCTATCTACAAAGAAGGATCAGTTCAAAAAAGCATCAGATTGTATCCAGGAAAGACCATAGCATATAGATTTGCAGAGTTGTCACTGGAAACCTGTAGTTCTGGACTTTGAGACTATTGAATGGGGCGAGAAAAATCTGGGCCTTGGCTGCGCCTATATGAGACTTGGCAAGGCCAAATAAGGTTTTGCCCCTGGTTATGTCATCTGCATGATTTTGGATGGAATTCACATACCCCTATGCTTTGATATCAGTCGGTCTGTGTTTTCCCATTATGCTCAACTAGATGATGAGAAATACGAGGAGGACACTTGCTAAAAATTGTTTGACATTTATTTGATAACATTGATGTGGAACCACCACTTATAAAGTATATAATTCCTACTGCAAGCCATGATCATTTCACATTTCGTCCAATCTTTCTTTACATAGTAGTTAAAGATCTCAATGCTGTTGACCGCAGAAAAACTACAGGAGATGACAGATTGGATCCCTTTTTATGTGGCTTCTGTGGCAAACAGCGAGTTCTCTGAGCTCTGCAAAATGGTGTAACATTGTGTTTCACATCTGAATTTCTCAAGTCATTTTTCCTCATATTTAGGTTTCTCACACTTGAGCATCTCTGTTTGTAGACCGATGGTGCTATAGGTGGTGCACACAGAAAGCCGACTAGTTTCCAAGCTAGGCTAATCGCCACTAACCCCAAGACCAGCTTTTCCTTCCACTCTCCTTGAGAAGCATGTTGTCACAGTGTGGCTTTTGCTTCATGACTCTAAAACCTTCTAGCGGTATGCTATCATTTTATTCCACTTCATATGTTTGAGGCTTATGTTTGATGAAAATGTGGTCCTCAAATTTGTGACACTTGCTTAGCTTCTTTACTGTAGCCTGTAGTCTGCTCCATGTCTGTGTTGTGAATTCAAACCTTGCCACTTCTTGTCATATCATTCCTCTTGTGAGAAAAGAAAGTGATATATCTTGTCTAAAATGGCTGTTCCAAGAATTCAGCTTCACAGTAAAATTTTGTTAATTCTAACAAATCACTATCTTTAAAAGTCATATCCCACACCACCAATCAGTGAGCTCCTCTAAAATTATATGGGTGGAATGTGTTTATATGGCAGGTCAGATGGAACAGAATTTTAACCCGTCATAATTTTGAAATACTGCCAGTATACTCCAGTAGTGAACTAAAGAACCAAACTTCAGGCACCAGACAAGTCTTGGTTGACCACGTTCAGGATAAAGAAGAAATTTGAAAATGCTGCATGTAATCCGCTTAATGTTATTAATCTTTCAATCTATTCTTCTTACTTATAGAAAGATTAATTAAGCAGTATGGTAAGGTTCTAATGCTGATGACCATTTGTTTCAGATTTATGACAATGCTATGATCACAGCTGGCTTGAATGACGACCCACGTCCAATGATCTCTCGCTTAAACGATCTGTTGGTCAAAGCCCTGGAGAAACACTGAGAACAACAAAAAGCTAGTGTGAAAGGATTAACCATGCTAGTGTTGGTAAAATATGGAGTTTCATTTTGCCATTGCTTCTGGCATGCCCAGTGTTTGGATTTGGGGCAACTTCTAATAATAATGTAATATGAAGTTACACAAGTCGTCTGCAATTTGAAAAGAGTTTTCTTTGCACTCTAGAATAATTACAGCATTGAATAATTTTTCATGATTTTCTATCTATTGAAATGTGTATGTTTGTGATGGAGTGTATTTTTTTCTTTGTTTTATTTTTGTGTTTGTTTAGATTTTATTTTAAGTTAATCAATACAAAATCAATAAAAAATTATGTGAAATATTAGTGTTTTTTATGATTAGGTCACCACACTGAAGTTTTCCATGTTGAAGCAAAACATTTGAGTTACATTATGGTGCTTTATAAGACCTACTAGGACAATTTTTTTAGTGCCACATTTAGCAGAAGTAGGCATGTCCCGAGGTAAAAATTTAATCTCACAACAATTAATCCAGCTTCAAATATGAGCACATTGACTGTCAAAAGTTAGCATTGTGTCCATTACCAAGAGCTGTGAAGGTGCTTAGACCAATAACATATGGACATGCACTTGCCATGCATGTAGTTATGTAAGTGTTTGATATACACATCTGTAACTTCTTTTACCTTTTACCCACACTATGATAGTAGTAAGTTCTGTTGGTGTCCCAAGGGGTTTTGCAATTATGTGTTTGTGCCAAGCTAACAGAGGTGTTCATTCATTTTTCCACAATGTGTTTAACAATTATAATAAATATAGCCGCAAACGGCAATGAACAGGTCCAAGCATTAACAGCCCAATAGGCCAGTGAAATCTAAAAAAGCCTATTGCAGTTTGGGCCTTATTTAAAGGGAAAAGATAAAAAGTGAAATGAAGTAAAATTTTATCAGAAGGCCGTCATTTTCCATACATTTTGCAAGATAAGACTGTGTTTTGAAACACTGTACTGCATTATCTGAAACCAGTTATCTGACCATAAGTAAAAATATGTAGAAGATATACTTCTTTTTCATGAGTAGTGCTGCCTAGTGGCCAAGTCATTTGACACTTCATTGGTTATTAGGAGGCGCTACATATACATACTATTTAAGTTTCATGATGATTGGTTAATGTTAAGGCTTCCAAATGCTTGCTGAAAGCTGATTGGCTGATGCCAGGTATAAAAGTTCAATTGATTGTCATCCTTTGTGATGATCCGCTTGTGAACAAATTCACTTGTATTGAGTGATGACGAGTTCTCAGGATTAAATTGGCCATACCTTCCTTATTACTCAACCAATTCTCACCAAATTTGTTTAATTATTTTCAGACATAGATTAGTCTAGGTTGCAGGGACTGCTCTCGGTAGCTTTTATTTCTTTCATAACTGTGATCTTGCTAATTAGCCATCTGGACCAGAAGGAAAGTTTTCAGTCTGCATCTGACGTTAAAAACTGAGGTTAGCACAAGCTCCGGTAGAAACATAATCTCAGAAACATCAGCAAATCCATGTGTGAATCACTTCTAATCTTAATACACATAAAATGTGTGGAATGGAGGGTCACTAACCAAATGATCTTCATCAATGTTGGAGTTCTACATGGATCTAAAGGACCAGGATCACCTCTAACCGCTTTGCACTGACTTTTCATCATCTGAAGCTGTGGCCTGTGAAACAACACCTTTTTGGACTCAAGTTACTCACTTGGTGAGATCAGTCCTTTGTTTTGCTTCAGAGACTTAAACCTTGATTCAGATTCAAAGACGGTTTCTAATCAAAAGACTACTCAAATACAACACTGAATGATAACTGGTTATATGTTCTGTAAATACTCTGGGTGTAAATACTTGCTTTGTGCCTGCAGTATAAGGCTGTGGTTCCATTCTGTGCACAGAATCAGAGTGCCCTTCAGATAAAGTAGACAGACCCTTTTTCAAAGAGGTTTGTAACAGATTGGCACCCGAATAGGGATCAGGCTAGTGCTTTGTGTGTATTTACACCCAATTATAGTGAGTGCATACAGCTTGGTTATCATTTTGGTAATTTTGGAATTTTACTGCAGGTCTATTTGTTACATGCAGAAAACCTACAGAGCAACTTATTGAACTAATGCAGACTTTCAGTCAAATGTATTTAGACAAACAGTCTTTTCAGGAAGCAGAAGAAGAAAATGTAGGGGTAGTAGAAGGAATAGAAGAGGAAGAGAACTTATCACCAGTAAACAAGTCAGCCACTGATATCCCTGAAAGAATGCAAGCATTAGAAGCAAATGCAACAACTTTAGAAACTAAACTAAATCAATGGAGGTTAAAGTAAATGAATGGTGTCCAGACATAGAAGGTCCTGTCAAAGCAGGACAGGAGCAATGGCAGCATCTAGAAAGGGAATGTAATAAAGTAAAGAGCTTGCTAGAGTTAAATATAAAAGATCTGGGGCAGGCAGTAGTCGACTATTTGAGGCGTAGAGATAGTCAGATTGGGTACATGCTTTAAGTTCCCACCACTGCTACTTCTACACCAAAAGCAGGAAACTGGCCACAGCAAGTTAGCCATTGTGAGAATGTGTCTGTACTTCTGATAAAATCCCTTTATGCTCAAGCAAATGTAGACATGGGTAGCACACTTCTCTTATTCAAAAATCATAGTGGAAAAAGTTGAAAGATCCATCAGAAGTCTGGAAACCTTGCAAACCTTCATCCTAGCTAGTGGACAGACTCAGAGAGCTTTGGGTACTACTGAATGGGAGTGCAGTCTGAAGGGGCAAACCTATCAACTGCCATTATATGTTCTATCTGATGCTTTACTTGCTTTCCCTCTCCTTTTGGGCTTAGATTTTTTAATACGGGAATGACCATTGATTTTAGTACCACTATCTGCAATCTGCCTTCTGAAGATGAAAAAAGGCAAGAGTTCAAAGTCTGTTCGGACACTCAGAAACACACATGGAGTCTGGGTTTATACTTGTGTATTGCACAACCAATCCCTGCTGTATCACAAGAGACTCTAGGACATATCCAGAGGCTGACATACTGAGGTGTGTGACACGCTCAGACCACAGTTGGAAAGTTTATTACATGATTGGCCAACTGTATGTACTGATGCCTTTCAGCATACTGATGTCATCAAACATCGTATTGTCACAACTGATGAGCTTCCTGTGAGAAAGAAGGCATAACGAGTAACAATGGTCAGGCAACAGATCATTGACCAGACTGTAGAGGAGATGTTAGAAAAAATAATTATTTAGCCTTCTACATCCCCATGGTCATCACCAGTCGTACTTGTGCCAAAGAAAGATGGAGGTTTGCGCTTCTGTGCAGATTATCATGGTCTTAACACTAAAACCCATCTTTGGCACCCTCGACTTGTGGAGTGGATATTGGCAAGTAAGTGTTGATTCTTGGAGCATCCCTAACACTGCGTTCATCACGGGCAGTGGATTGTATGAATTTTTGCGTTTGCCTTAGGATTAAAAAATTTTGCGGCAACATTCCAGCAGCTGATGGAAGTGGTACCTCAAGAGGTAAAGGGAAGAAACTGTTTTTTGTGTATATTGATGATGATGTAATATATTCAGCCACTGAAGAACAGCATCTGAAAGATCTCACTGAAGCATTTGCTTGCCAATAAAAAGCTGGTTTCATTTCAAACCTACTGACGTGTAACATCATGCAGAGAGCTTTGAACTTCCTGGGACATGTCATGTCCAGTGATGGGATTGCAACAGATCCAGACAAAATAAGAGCAATCTGTGAATTTCCAGTTCCAAAAAACATAAAAGAAGTTCAAAGACTTCTTGGCTTTGCTGGCTAGTACCACTGATACATACCCCATCTATCCTTGATAGCAGCTCCACTTCATGCATTAAAACACAAAGGGGTAAGATGGCATTGGAGTAATGAATGTCAAGAAGCATTTGAAAAAATCAAAGCGGCTTTGGCGTTTGGCAGTTCTCGCATCTCCAGACTTCACCCAACAGTTCAAGGTGCAAACAGATGCAAGTGAAAATGGCATTGGAGCTGTTCTTGTCCAGGAAAAGGATGGTGAGGAGAGTCTTTCTGTCTCGCATGTATAATAGTAATCAAAGGCTGATGCGGTGGGCTTTGCTAGCTCAAGGGTACTTGTTAGAGATTCAACACAAGAAGGGCACAGATAATGTAATGGCTGATGCTCTTTCTCGTGTGTAAAACTTTTATTGGGGGGAGTGTTACGTCCATAGGACGTATGTTTTGTTTTGCTTGCTTCTCTTTCTTTCTCTCTCTCTCTCTCTCTCTCTCATACTCTCGCTTATTAGGAACCCGTCCACTTGTGGGTGAGATTGGCTGGAGTCCCGTAACGAAATTGCATCTGATCGACTGGCTGAAATTGCATGGAGTATATCTTCGACGGCTGCGCCGGATGTCATCGAGGCTTTCCTCCATGGCGGCTTGGGGCAATTGTTTTTAGATCTCAGCTTGTTCGTTTTATTGCTAGCATATTGTCTATCCTCATCCCAAATGAAATAGCTTAGCTTTACCTCTTGTTCCCTACCCAGTTATCTCTACAGTTAAACCGCAAGCTCATGATCTGTCTCTGTGAATGTTCACTCTTATGCCGACCAGGTTGTAGGGGTGGGTGCCATTTCTTTTGACCTTGTTTTCTCCTGTTTTTGGTATAGTTAGGGGAATTAGGAAAGACTGACTGTATTTTTGTTTCTTGTTTTTGTTTCCCATAGGTAAGCTAGGCTGGTGTTTGTTTGTTGTTTTGGCGTATGCCCACTCTGACATTCTCCTGTGTCGTGTACACAAAAGAGCAGCATAAAAAGAAAATAACATGACTTGATCTGTTTAAACGTCATCTGGCTCTATTTTGTCCTTTTTTATGTTATGATCATTACGAACCCCTAGACAGGTCGTAACAAGCAATAGCCTATGCTTCTAGGTTGTTCTTGGGAGCAGAGGAGTCCTACTCTGTTTCAGAGAAAGAGTATCTGGTGGTGCTATGGGCAGTCAAAAAATGGAGACTATATCTAGAAGGCACACACTTCGTAGTAGACACTGATCGTTCTACCTTGACTGGGGTTTTTAACCATGTGAATCTGACTTCTAGATTAACAAGGTGGACTATTTGATTGCAGAGTTTTGACTTTAAGGTCATCTATAGAAAAGGTCAATGTCACATAGCCCCTGATGCTTTGTCACGCAGCTATGGTGTAGAAAACAGTGTTGACAAAACTGCTCTGTGCAAGCGAATCCCTGTAACAGGTGATCTACCTGTGAATTA